CTCTCTCTCTCTCTCTCTCTCTCTACTTGCTGATACCCATCCCATTCCCTTATGAGTTGTGACCTGTCTTGGCTGCATTGGTGGGTCCATACTCTTTCTCATTCTGTGGCTCTCTCTCTCTCTCTCTTTCCACATGCACATACTCCTTTCTCTTGTCCAAATTTGTAGTGTACTTTTTGGTTTGGCCTCTCCTCTGGCCTTATATTTTTTCTTTTCTGGTTGGACTCTCTCTCTCTCTCTCTCTGGATGTGCCTTTCTCTATCTAAAATTTGTAGTGGGCATTGTCTGGAGTTGTTGCTCTCTCTTCTTATTGTTATCAATGTTATGTAGCAGGCTTTGCTTTGTCTTCATGCTTGAGGCCTTCTGCGACTTTCTCTCTCTCTCTCTAAGGTTGCAACCTTAAACAATCCAATTAAGGCCTACTGCTGCTCTCTCCCTATAAGATTGCAATATTAAACAATCCAATTAAGGCACGCATCCAAATTTTATCATAACATGTAATTTTGATCTAAAAAATTATTAGGATTATTTAAAAATCCATTTTTATGTCTAATTATAAAAAATTAAACTTGAAAAATGGTTTAAATCAAGTGGATTTATAAATATATGAAAATTTTGAAAATTGACGTTCTAGATAATGTGTTGTAAGATACATTATTTTTGAGACTCAAAATCTTTTTGTTTTTCATAGTCATATATCTTGACATATGTCTTGATGATGTTGAGATGAGAGGGTTTTTTAATATTAAAATAACTTTTTTCATTGGATTTTAGATGTGCATATGTAATTATAAGGTTGCAACCTTAGAATTAGGTCTGTGTTTGATAGGTAGGAGCAGAGTTTGAAAACTCGTCGAGTCGAGCCGGATTCGTTAGGTTCGACTCGGGAATCGTCTGCAATCGAGTTGGTTTCATAAAAAAATAGGGAATCGCTCGTGTCTAGAGGGAACCGCGCGATTCCCAATAGTGAATCACGTGTCTTACATGTGGCCGTCGCCCGTGTCCAGAGGGAACTGCACGATTCTCAATAGTGAATCGTGAGTCTTATACGTGGCCGCCTCACAGGAGCAATACGTGGCAAAATCGGGAATCGCCCGTGTCTAGAGGGAACAGTTGGAATCGCCCGTGTTTAGAGGGAACCATGCGATTCCCAATAGTGAATTGCGAGTCTTACACGTGGCCGTCGTCTGTGTTCAGAGGGAACCATGCGATGCGATTCTCAATAGTGAATCGCGAGTCTTACACGTGGTTGCCTCACGGGACCAACACGTGGCACCTAAAAATCCTCCACACGTGGTAACTCACATCACATGTCGGCCCCATCGCTTTTCTACACGCGCAATACAACATCTATTACACAGGAATTTATAGAAAACAAAGCAACGCTCATCCTTCGATATGAGATAATTCCTACAAAAAGTCATTAAAGCAAGAAGATTGAATATATTATTAAAGAAACTAATAAAATCCCATTAAGCAACGTGGCGGCGTTGGTTGACATCTTCGATTTTTCGGTAGACGTCTAGAGTTCGAACCCCTTAGCGCGCGTCCTCGTTTATATTTTTGTTGTCAAAAAAATAAACAAAGGCAGAAAATACTGTTGTAAAAAAATAGAAAAAATAAAAAATAAAAGACTTTTCAAGATACAGATAAAAAAGATAATACAACATTTTTTTTATTTTTTTTGTAAAAAAAATACAAAGTAATATAACAAGTATTTCTCGCAAAAAATAAAACAAAAGGCATAAAAAAATAAAATGTATTTTGGCTGCATCATTTTTTATTTTTCTTGTAAAACAAAATAAAAAGTAATACAGCAAGCAAAAAAAAAATGTAGTACAATATCTTCTTCTTTTGTCAAAAAAAAAAGAAGAAGATAATCAACAAGTATCATATTTTTCTTGTAAAAAGAAATAAAAGATAAGACAAAAAGTATTTCTTGTCAAAAAAGTTAAAGGTATTTCTTAGTACAACCTAGGAATAAATGGTCTAATTATATTTTTTATTTTTATAACATGATGGTTTTTAACATAAATTTAGTAATATTAATTTAAAGATAGGATTCATATAATGAGGCCATTTGAACTCTCTCTGTTTCTACTACCAATCTCTGCCACTTATTTATTCTAGAAACCTAAAAAATTTAAAAAAATTGGTACGCATGATAATAATTTATACATTGATAACCAAATCTTTTATTTTATTTATTAATTTTGTATTATAAATCATGTAATGTACTATTTTTATTATAGTTGTCAATAAAACATTTTAAATTAGATGATATTATAAAATATTTTGGATTTGTTATTATTTATATAATAAAATAATTATAAAATATTTGTGGTATATAATAATATAGTTAGTTAGGTTGTAATAATTTGGGTTTTTTTAGCGGATTAGGGTTTTCCGTCAATTCGAGATTTTAGTGGCCAATTTTTCATCGATTTAGTCAACTCTTTATTGTAGTCCGTATATGACTATATATTTATTCCATGATAATTTTGTGATTTCTTTTGTGTGATGTAAATTTAATGGTCAACATAAGTTAATACAAGGAAAGAACATCTCAATATTCATAAATTGATGAAAACAATGAAAGTTAATAATATAGTACCCCAATTTCTTATTGGATTTCTAAAAAACAACATTTATAATGAATTTTAATAATTTTTTTGAATTTTTTTAAGGCTTAATCCGAACATTTTGGCCCGATTTTCGATTCAAATCGTCAATTTACCGATCCAAAATCGATTTTTGGGATGTTCGTTCCGAGTCACCAATCCATTTTTTAAACCAGTGGGTAGAAGGATTAAATCATTTTGACTCTCTCTCTCAATATGTGCGTGAGGAAAGTAAAGCACTTCTGAGTTTTCACTCTCTCTATTTGAAAATTTGACTTTTGGACACCAAGCAAGGCAACGCCGCCTTGTCACATTCGTTGCAGAGCGCCTATGCTCTTGGGAGCACACTATGTATTTACTCCCTTTAACAAAAAAGTCTTATTTTTTTCAATGAAATTTTGGGTTAACTTAAAAAGCCTAACACAAATAGTTAGAAATAAAGATCTGATGATGAAGAATAAATAAGGGATTATTTTTAAAAGAAAATATTTTGGATATTCAGTTTTTAACATTAGATCTTACTTTTAGAGATTTAGAAAATTGTTTCATGCGGATTGGACTGCATTTCTACAAATGCGGTCCAGAAAGTGTAAAGAATCCATCTTAAAGATGGAGGCAAGTAGGTGTTCCACCTAAAAACAATAGAAATTAACGGTCCAAATGTTTTCTTATTAGAATTATTATTTTTAGTTTTTAAAATTTATTTATTTTTTCATATTCATGGTCTCCATGTTAGAGATTACATGTACTTAAAAATTAAGTCTTAAAATCCATCTCAAAAATAGATTTATTAAGAAGCCCGTATTTGTTCATATGCAGGCTTGGGCTTCGTTGCATAGAAACAAGATCTTTTTAGACATTAGACAAATTTTGTTTTATTATTTTTTGTTAATTTTATGTCTTACTCTATATAGTTAAGATAAGGTTTGGATGATAATGATGATTTTTCATATATAATATAAATCGTTCCTTTTCTTCTTTTTTTTCCGAAGTAAGTTGCTAGGTTGAAAAGGTCACGTCCTAAAAATTTGGATTTCTCACAGTTCTAGGTTTTTCCCGAAGGATTACAAAGATGTTATTCTGATATGGGAGCACAAAATCTTTTGGTTTACTCGTAGACTTC